GTTTTGTAGCTGTCGGATGTCATTACTATATCTATCAGTATTTTGGTGCGTATGAGGTGGACCATTGGACTCTTTAGTTTTTGAAATTTTAGACTTAGGCCTTGGTAGCACATACTGTTTAGTAGATTGTGCTGACTTTTCAATGCACGTAGGTATAGTGTCTTGTATGTCAACCAGTCTTACCGTTGGCATACTGCACGTAAAGATAGAGGGGCTGCGACATGGAGAATCTGGTGACGATAGAGACATTTGTGTACAATGCACATATTTTTCAGTAGTTAAAGGTTCGACATTGTCAAGCACTGAGTCGTCAGTTGTAGGGGTTACAGATTTGGACCTTTTATTTGGCTTAGAAGTTGGTGAAAGTCCTCTTTTACTGGAGTTATTGGACATGATATGAATAAAAGTGAGCACAGTTCTCGTTAAATTAAATATAATATCTGAGTATTAGTTGTTATTAAGTATTAACCTGGTTAATACTAGGATTAGAGACTGTGAGTATATAATAAATTGCAGACCTATTTACGACTTAAGTCCGCAATAGGTACAATACGAACTGGTAATTGTCCGTCGAATAAAAATAAGTTTTTTCTTATGTTTCGAGGTGAGATGTTCCCGATGTACAGGATAGGATGATAATCACAGTATAATACACCCTACAAAAGAGCAAGTCGAAGAATTCCTAAACCACGTGAAAAAAAATGTTACCACTTTCAAAGTTCTGCTCTTCGCCAATGACATAAAGATTTGGGGATCCATAAACAGTATGTCAGATAGAATAATATTACAGGATGATCTCAATTCATTGGTGGCATGGATGGGCGGGTGGAAACTAGTAGTAAGTTCTAACAAGTGTGTGGTGTTGCAATTAAATAACTATGATGATTCGTATCAGTTAAACAATATGTGGGTTTGTGTTGCCTAAATTCATGCACTATACAAATTTGGGAGTCATAATAAGCAGCGATCTTAAAACTGCGAGCAACTACAAGGCTGCCGCCGCTAAACGCTTTGGGGTATTGTGTGCTTTTCGCAGGTCTTCAGTGTTTGGACGAAGAAATGTTTAGATCTTCATGAGACCGCGTTTGGAATATATGATTCAAGCAGTTAGTCCTTGTTTCAAGTATGAGGCTAATATGCTGAGATGAGTATGGCAACCAGGAACCCAAATGGTTAAAGATCTATCTTATGAAAACAGACTGAGACACCTTAACTTATTTCAGTTATCGTACAGGGTGATCTAATATTAGCATGTAATACACTGAACGATGACCTTGGTATTAATATGTCTAATTTTCCCCCTTTTTCTTGAACTGTTAATTGGAGAGGACATTCCAAGAAAGTTCAAGAACAGAGATCAAACCGTCTGCGTCTGGAGTCCCGTTTCTCGCACCGAGTAGTGAATTGCCGGTATTATTTACCAGAACACGTAATATCAGCACCTTATGTTATTGTGTTCAAAGAAAGATTGACACTCCACAATGTCACAAACTGCACGGATTAATATAGATCGATAAACCTCCCTAATACTGAAGACTGGATTTATTGAGCATTGAGTTTTGGGTCAAATTCGCCCTTGCTAGTTGACGAATCTCAAGGTTGTGCCGTAACACGCAATGCTTTGGCGTGTTTACATTTTCTCACTAGAAACGTTGTTGATCAATATTTTTTATATTTACATATGTTAACTGTACACTGAAGTTAAGAGTTGTGTCACTTAATGATTTAATTTGTCAACAGGTATCAGGATCAATGTACATGTTGACACTCAAACTGCAATAACTATGAAAGGTGAAGAGTCAGTGCGTTCAATCTTGTCCCATAATGATCTGTGAATAAAAGTTAGCCGTTACCTCAAGATAAGGCACTAGTACCGTCCAGTTGCTGCTATATTGTTTAGAACTGTACGAGCATCATAGCACTCACTTTATAGTGAGCTTCCACTCAATTAGATACAAATGTGTTCATCATGGCTTACACAGCCCTAAGGAAGTTTTGTTTAAAAACTACGTATTTGCGGCAAGTACGTGCTTGAAAGATAACACCAAGAAAAAGTACGGGGAATAAAGTTTTGGGTCATCTACCATCTATACTTTAGTTTACGAAGTTGAACCTCTTTACTTAATTTTACGGCAGGCTAACAGGTAGTCTAATCTGGAAGTATGGAGTGCTAAGTAATAAACTCGCCCATGGTGTCTACTCTTCTCTTCTAACGGGTTCAGAACAACTCACTAAGTAAATAAGGGATGTTAAATTATAAAGTTCAGTAAAATATCCGTAGCGTACTGGTTTTCCCTCAAAGTAGTCAGCCAGTAGGACTAACTGCTCGAAGAATTGATGTCCTCACCCTTGATTGGCTCCCTTAAGAGATTAGCAGGCACTCAGAAACTTACGAAAATGAGACAGGCCCTCGGCCTTTTGTCGTTTAAATAAAATGCTGGAAGTCAACCATGTGCCAAGATACACAATCACTATTGGTTTGAGCCAAGAGAGATTTTCGGATATTTGTCAATGTTTACAGAACGACAGATTAAGGGTTAGTGTTTGGAATATGACTATTGATAAGCTGTGGGATTATTTGTTTTAACTTCTTATGGTTCACCCGCTTGTCAAATTTTGTTTTTCAGTTTTCCTTAGTCTGCAGTCTGTCCGAGTTTGTTTCATTTTAAACTGGTATACTATGACAAGCAGGGGTCCTTAGTGTTTCACTCTCAATCAACTCCCATTTGTTCTCCTTAATGACAATTTTAAACTCCATATCTGAGGTTGTAGGGTCGCTTCTATGATGTCAAGTAGAGGATTTCTGGGTTGCCTGGTTACAACTGATTACTTAGTCATCAGGTCATGGTGACCTATTGTTGAACTGTCTGTTGGATCCATAATCGACATGTAAATAACTAGCTGTAATGCAACCGGTTGCAAAATGTTCAAACCACAAATACAAGTGTTTTTCCAAGCAGATTCAGTCTCCAGTAATAAGGATAGGTCGGTGGATATGTGTTATTCCTTTACTTGTTTTTATTTATTTAAATACACAAACATTGGCACAGGAAGGCACCATAAGTCATTTGATTTGCTTGAGGGCTGGAATACTGTCCGGGTGCCCAAACCGAAACAGGTGAAGTTGGATTATTTCTTGCAGCTTGCTTCCAGTGTAGGTCCAGCTTCGTGAAAATTCTCATTAGTAGTGCTGGTACCATTTGTTCGTGTAAAGCGTTCCAGTCGTTGACCAATCGATGAGAAAAACAGATCCCTACTTTAAGTTTATTGGGTTGCAATTTTTGAACCTTTTAGCTATGACCTGGAAGAATATTAGTGCTGGAGAGAGCAAAATAATAAGACATATTAATACCCAAGTCTTTAAAGATACCGAATGCTAATATAAGGTCACCTCACGTTCTACGATGTGATAAGGAGAAAAGGTACAGGTGTTTCAAGTGCTCATCATGGTGAGTTTAGAAAGACCCTTCACTAACTTTTTTCCCCTCTAGTGTGTCGGTATCCTTAATAAGACACAGACCGGCTATTTGGTTACAGTACTCTATGTGTGGTCTTACATAGATGGGACATAAAATCCGAAAAATATCTTCATAGCATTTGAATTCTCGGCAGAGTGATCATAAAGCTCGGAAACCTTTGGCAGCTGCTGCGTTGCAATGCTCAGTTGTAACAGTAAAACTAAGAACCACTTATAAACAAATGTGCTAAACTAATGTGTACATGCCAAAGGTTTCTAGGATATTTCTGGGAAATCTTTAAGTTCATACAGGTTTTTGTTTAAGGTTTACTACTGTAAGGGTCGCTGGTACACTAGCTATTTATGTCTGCATTCGTCGTACAAGTAGTAAAGGGTTCCAAAATGTCTTCTGTATTCCATACTTCGGAGATGTAGAGGTCTTCAGAATCCAATTCCTAACCAAAACAGATAGAAATGAGTGAAAGTAGACAGCCTTATCTGACATCAGGGCGTAGAACATCTTTGCAGTTACCTCTATGCTTGACTTCAATGCTTTAGGTGGCATGTTGTTTGTTCCTGGTGCTTTGGCATTCCTAACTTTTCGATAGCCTTGGTGATTTCTCCGATTGTTCGTGAAGTAACATTTATAGGGTGCGTGGGACATGGTGCCACCTGTGAGCATGCTGTTGGGGTTACATAAACTTACCAGTCTTGCGTCATTCTCGTTTCTTTCTCCTAGTCCATGTCGTCTCATAACATCTTCACACTCGATGTTGCCCATTCTGACCTTAGAGTCTAGGTCTCTCATCAGGAAGGTCATATACCTTTCTTGGGTATTTTTCTACACTGAACTACAGCCTCTCATAAAAGTAATCTTTGTCATCATCACTGATACAATTGGTTGGTGCGTAACACCGGATGAGTTTCACTGTAATGTCCTCGTTTGCTTTGAATGGTGGTTTAATGATCCTTCATCTATGCGTTTCTAATCCTGTAAATACTTTCGTGCTTTGAACAGCATCATCTCAACTCATATATGGGGCACTTTCTTCGTCATTACCAAAATACGACATCTTACCGGAAACTAGTATTTTCTGCTCAGCTTGTGTGCAATCAATTTTCATAATTTCAAGCGTATTGAGGTTATACTCTCATTTCCAATGATATTTGAATGGTTTTTCCTGCCTCCCACAGTGCCTGGGCATTCCATATACTTATATTAGTTGTTGGTCAGATCAGAAGGGATATTTATATATATCGATTTGATCGATTACGATGATATAACGTTGACAAGGTCAACTATAACAGACTCACCGATCACTTTGTGATGATTGCTGAAACATACTAATCAACCTGAAGGTCATCTCAACCTGGTTGAGGCGTATTGCGTTTTTAATTTTTCACATAGAAAAGTTTGGTCACTATTTGAATATGTTTGTTGTTCTTAACGAATAAACTTTATGATTTACACGTAACTTTGTATTTTAGCTGGATTGTCTATGTCGACACGGGATTGCATCAATAGTTTTACAGTTTCCCCATTATGAATCGTGATACTGCAACAAAAGATAGTGTTATTGGAGGGTTTACAGTTATAAATGAGAAAACAAAATCAAAAGTACAAAATGTAGGTGAACTGAATATATTAATTTTGATGTTTATCCGATAGGTCCAAGAAGTTCTCCCCTTTTGGATTACAAAGCCTGAACTTTTCTCATCTGATCTTAAACAATCTCTTTCTGTCAATGAAGTAGCTAAGCTTGGTCAGTTTTTACGGCTGCGACTAAGTGAAATTGGTATCACTCATTTCTTTCCTGGTACCTAGCTAACTTTCTAATCATCAGCTGGCGATTATAGTTCAGTCTGCTGTAATCCCTTACATGTTAGATTGTTATGTCACATCTAAACATCGGCCATTATGTCGACCAAGAGACATATGTATATGCGCACCGACAGGAAGTGGGAAAACACTAGCCTATGCTGTGCCAATCATCCAAGTACCATTTGTCGTTTTCGTATTTTCACTTAAATAAGCTATTTCTTAATAGGGTTCATAAATTTATTCGAGCTTTGGTCATTGTTCCAGTCAGAGACTTAGCTGTTCAAGTGTACAAAACTTTCAGTCAGTTGGTTAATGGAACAGATATTCAGGTTTGAAATGTATTTTATATTTTGAATGGATGTATAGGTTGGAGTTCTTGCTGGTATCAAAAGTTTTAGCAAAGAACAAGAAGATATCATAAACCTGTAAGCTTTGTAATTATTAGATTGAATACCAATTTCAGTACGGATGAAAGTTACTCTGCCAAAGTTGATATTATAATAGCTACACCTGGACGTTTAGTAGACCATTTGTACAATACTCCTGGTTTCAGTATGGAACGCTTGAGAATCCTGGTACGTTTGAATTGACTCGTTAATCTACCTGTTATTGTATTTTCATTTTCCTGCTTGTTCAGTAGCAAATATTGGAACCACATTCCACATATTAAATTGTGAGCAGCCATTAGTACTATTGACCTTAAGCGTAACTCTGTACATTTACATCTGTTGAATTGCTTCTAAAGTATTTATAACTCTTAGCACTGCTGCACTTGCTAAATCAATGTTTGTAGATTTAAATGTTAACCCCTGGACTGGGTGATGAAAAGGCAAATGCCACCTTAAAATGCCATGACTTCATTTTTTTAAAATTATCAAAATGATTTTCGTACAAGAAGTTCCTATATAACTATTAAGATGTGAAAGAATTTACCAGTAATTTATTCGAATGTGGATTGAAATCAGTGCTACTAGCATAAAACTGGTATTTTACCATTTCACCCGCTAAACCCTGAATAAATTATTATTCTAGACGTACTTGTTCGTCGTATGAGATCGTTTATGTTATTTTTTGTCTTATATTACTCACATGCAGAAGCTTCAACGGATATATTATTGTGTTAGATTGTGCACATATTGATCAGGATTGATTTACAATTAACTACGAGGTCTTATGGTGGTATCTTATTAGATATCTGTTTACTATATTGTATGTTAGGTAATCGATGAAGCCGATCGAGTGATAGTGGAAGAAAAACAAAACTGGTACCATACTTTGGAGGATGTATTGTACTATTACACATCTTCAATCAGTCAGAATAGTTGGTCCAATGTCTCTGTACGCAAACGTTCAAGACCTATACCAACTGTTGGTTATCATTACGATAGGAGTGTTGATATTACTTTGCAAAAGGTTAATGGTTTTATTATGATATGAACTTGCTCTTATACTCATTACATTTGTAATAATTACATAGTTTCACCATGTTTTTTCATTAAAAAACATTTTAGTGATATGGATCGGTGTCTCAGTGTGCTGATGGTCACTGTATGGACCATTTTGTATTTTACCTTAAATTAAATTATGATTAAAATCCCATAGTAAATAGTCTATACTTAGCTTACGAACACAGTTTGCTGACGTTTTTTTAGCAAATGATATTATGTGGTATGACATACTTGATTAACCTTAGCGATTATTCATGTCAGTTTTTTAATTAGTAATTAACTCTTGGCGAGATTTTCGAAGATTTACTTACTGGAAGTCAGTTACTAATAAGAGTATATATATATATATATATATATATATATATATATATATATATATATATATATATATATGCATGTAGGCGCCACACAAATCATTCAACTTATGTGAGGACTTTGATACTGCATAGGCCTCCAGACTGAAGCCAGTTGTTTACTTACGGATCACTCCTCGATCCTTTGACCTAAAGGTCTAATCCACAAAGCAGTGGAGCAACGTCTGGAAACGTAGTTCCATGGTAGCTGATGACCAACAATAGGTTCATATGCCAATTGTTCCCTCAAGATCCTAGAGCTCATAAGCACTATTGGTTTTAAATCAGAGTTTTCTAACTCCCCTAGGTATATCCTCCATATCCACCAACCTGGTTAAAGCGCCGGACATTCGCTTTTCGTCCTTTCAGCTTGGTAAACAACACGTCACGAGAAGGCAGTGAGTAGGACTTCCCTGGCAGTGGCTGTATACACATGGCCATGTGAGAGCATTTGGAGAGGGGGAGCTGACTCTCCCCACCTTCGACCGTATTCATCACTTGTTCTATGTAACGTTGAATGATTGGTCATGGCCATAAAATCTGAGATTTAGAGGTACTATTATAAAATATCTTTTCTTGTACGAAATTTGAGCGAAATACTTCAACATTAAAGTGAAATTGTAACAGAATTAATAGGTATCTCTTGTAAGGAAACACAAATTATAACATACAGACTATTGAGTTAATTGTACTTCTTTTAGCCTCAGGCATCATTTCCGATTCAAATAGGTATTTCTCTTCATTTTGCTTACTTATTCGTAGCTTTAAAATGCATTCACTGAGATCAAGTTCGAATGAATATGAGTCGCATAAACCTCAGAATCCAATTAGATCAATCTCATAATTCTATAAATGGAACTTTAAGAGCCAAAAAATTACATTCCAAAAACTTGGAAATTCAGTTTTATGAATATATTTAGAACAATAAGAAGTCTTTTTCATTTCTTAGGTCTTATGTATTAAGTGTATCTTATACTTTTCCCGCGAAACTTTCCTACTACCACTTATACTTTTACTGATTCTACTCTGGAATTTGTCATGAATACTTCATCTCACTGTTTTGATATATGGTTTGGTAACTTAAACCGACTTGTCGCGTTTCGCGTTGCTTATGACTGACCGATTAAAAGATTAAATCTTATTAGTTTAACTCACTAACAGATGGGTCAAAACAACCACTCATAGAGTAAATAGTTTACAAATACAGCACATTAATGTATACAAATTGAGTGATGAAACAAGTAGTATAATTTACACACAGCAAATAAAATTACTTAGGGAAAACAGTAAAGCATTCTTTTTTCCCACTCGATATGAATAATTCAATATCATTTTTCGCATTTTATCCCACCTTTCTTTGTTTTCCCTTTTTTTGGTGTAACTTCAGATACTTGTTTCTGCTACACTGACTCATGATCCAGAACCATTAAAACAGTTTAACTTACACTTTCCTATTTTATTCACTTCAAATCGAATACACAACAACAAAAACACTCTTGATACAGTTTTAAATGATCACGAGAACGCAGAAACTAATTCGTCCGAAATAAAAAAGCAAGTGAAAAATGATGAAAATAGAGAAATCTCTAATGTTATTTCACAGTTAAAATCAAGTGAAAATCATACGACTACAGGTGTTGGTCAGTTTTTAATCCCTGAAAGTTTAGAGGTAATCTTTACAATCATTTTCTTCTGAAGGTAGATTTATTCATTTTTCACTTGTAGTTTAACTGTATTCTATAAAAAATCAGGAATAACTATTTAGTGAAATATGATTTCTTACACCGTCAAAGATATTTATATGCAGAGAATCTAAAAGATAGATTCAAATATTTTGAGTTTTAACTAATCACTCAATAGTTACGTGGCTTTGTCGAAGTGCACACCATTTTTGAATAAGATGGATCTGAATAAATGTTGTATGGTGGGTTACATTTGAACATTTACACTCCGTATAAAGACAGAATAACATTCTGGACACCGATATGAAAACTGAAATCAGTTTTTGGTAATGGATACAACATATGTTGGTGATAAGGCATACCCGTTTTCTAATCATCAAATGATGTTCATACTGTACAAAAATTCAGCATATCTTACATAATAGATGTGGAGCACAACACAAAATATTGAAAATATGTCAGCTGTTAGTATTTACTCATTGATGTCTTCGAAGTATTCCCCGTGTTTGATAAAACTACCAAGTAGTAAATTAGTTAAACATTCATCTGCGGAGTTGGTTAGGACTTGTGGTAGGTAATTTTATGGCGGATTTAAAGAAGACCAGAGGTGACCAGACCAAACCTATACTATCAGTTCAGGAATTTGTTAACTGTTGGCTTGAACTGCTTCAAACAAGTTTGCATAAATTGTTACTTATTCTGATAATATTCATACGATAATTGTGATAACACTTAACTACAATTCGATACCATGATTCCACAGCTTTTTTCTCTCATACCCCCAGCTACTCCAAAAGACGAGATTTGTAAGGAAGATTTGTTCAGTAGGGACTAAAAAAGATTAATTCGCTTTGAATTCATTCTATTATATACATTATTAGTTAAAGTAATAATCACACAATTCGTATGGTTTAATTTTATACTTAGTAAAAGTCAGTTGAACGTAAATCATGATCTTATGCTTTACCTCTTCTCGAACATCTATAAGGAAACCGATGGCCAAGGTTTGATTTTGTTTAACTCTGAGATTTATTCCCTACTGATGAAATTATGATACAATTGTTTGACCGTATATATTTTCAAAACATTTCTCAAGTTTTGATCGTTGAAATTAAACAAAATTATTGGCAGAGAAAGCAAGTCTGTAATTAAAGCTACGAGTTGACCGATTTAGTTGTCAGTTATTAGTGTTTCAAGTCCCTAAGTGATATAACGCAAAGCAGCTCCGTGTCACAAACGTATTCTACTCCTCATCTTCCTTTAAACCCCTGGGCATTTCATTACTCGGTATATTTTTTCTCCACTCATGTCATTCTATTGTAAAATTACAGCGATCTTTATGCTTAAACGCCCAGATACTGAATTCCAAATCGTTTCATAGTCCCTAAAAGTGTCCAACCCTTAAATCCCAAAGATAAAGTACAGAAAAAGATTTTCTTCGAACGTTAAATTACGTGCAAAAACGATAATATTCGTGGGTTTGTGAGTAACCGTGATATTCTAGAAGTTTTTACGAAAAACGGCAAAAGCGATTATATATTCGGTAATCTAATCAGAATAAGGAAAGCGTAATTAATTATTTTTTAGATTTTCTTTGAAAGCTCCCAAAAATCAATCATTGGTTGAAGTGATTTAATCATTTCCCCTAGATTTTTGGGGGATCATCCCAATGAATTTAGTTATTTAAGTCTTCCGTTTTATCTTGTATTCTAATTGTTGGTATTTCTACAGTAGTTTTCATAGGAAGTATATAAACATTTAGGTCGTTTTGTTAGTAGAACCTGCTACTCATTTGTGTAACTTAGTTGATACGACCAACTGTATAAAATAACATTTCCATGTATTGTGATCATTGCTATTGATCACTTGATGTATTCAAGATTTCCTATAGATTTTATTTCTCAGTTTTACTGTCTACATATATTAAACGTATAAAACTAAAAAGATACCTGATTTTCATTGCTTGTTTATTTTAAACTAAAGGAATTTCTTGTAACTGCAAAACCGGATATCCGTGTATTGTTTCTTGTGTATTTGGTGCGTCAAAAACACAAAAAACGTATCTTATGCTTTGCAAATACAGTAGATTGTGCTAAACGCTTAAATATGCTCTTGGCTAGCTTTCAAGGTATAAAGAGTAAATTCTTGTCAAGTCATTTACATCCGGATAAACGTCAAAGAATATTAAATCTATTCAGTGTTGGATTGTGTCAAGTAAGTGATGTAATAGCTATTGGTAATTGTTTTCTTTGTGGCAAATTTATTACCAGGCTCTACATTTGAACTTTTTGTCACTACTAATACCTACTGTATTGTATTTAATTGTGTAAATTTTTGTACAAAGTTGTTACTTTTCGTTATTGTTATTCCCACCCAACCCCATAGCTCTTCAGAGAGGGAAGAACTTTGAAAAGACAATACGACTGAACACTGTAGAAAATGTGTATATAGGGATTATGATATCAGTAGCATGGGAAAATAACTTGTCCCATACTATGTAGTGCAGATGTATTAATTTTAGCCTACATTACACTTTCTCAAGCTTTTATGCCAACAAAAAGCTCTAATGAGTTATTAATAAGTTCACTGGTGTAGAAGCGTAGAACTTTCCCCAAGTATGCTGTATATGCAATATTCAAATGCAGATATCAGAAATATATACATTCCAGTGATATGCATATACGCATAGATGGACGCTGTCGTTAGTATACACTATATGCAACCGTAGAATGCATAAATAAGTTCACTCATTCCACAAATGAATATAGATATAGACGTTTCAGATCGCTAGTATACGATATATGCACATACAGAATACCTAAGCCAAGGCTTATATACTTCATAGAGTACATATATGCAATCACCCCAGGCCGTAGCCCCATTGCATTTTTTAACTGAATGCATATCAAGTATTCATAAACGATGTGCTCACTTCATGCTTGTCACAAGCAGGCTTAGTGTATAACCCTGTGCACTGGTTACAGCACAGTTTTTTGCCTACTCTCTGGCCCGCCCCTCCAGACGAGTCTGTTCAGGCACCAAAACGAAGTTTTTCTCTAGTGCCACAATCACATTGTCAATTCAAGTCTATCTCTCTTCTCGTGTAATCAAGATTAAGATAGAATGGGTAATTAGCTTGATCTCCACCTGACTTATGCAGAATGGGTGGTCAGTCCGATCTCCGCTGTGTTGGTTAAGTAGTTCTTGTGGAGAGCACCACGTGTTTAAAATGCGGATATCAACTCCGGATTTTCGAAAAAGGGGAGGTGGGTTATGTCCCGACAAGAATAATGAATAGTAACTTTTCGGATCCATTATGGAACAATACTAAACGTATATTTCTATTGTATAATTATTAAGTAACTAAACTATGTATATTCATATTCCTTTTATTATAAGCTTTATTTTGACCCATAAACTATTATTATACGTTTTACCATTCTTGAGTTATACCCAGTATATTAATTACTACCCCCCTCATTCGCACCCACATCTGGCTAATTCTTGTACAAATGTTGTTTTATATTTTATTGATACGTTGTGGTCCGTTTGATTGGTGTATAAACTCAGTATGTTTGAAATATAATGATTCATATCACTGAGACTGGTGTTCTCGACTTAACTGGTCGCATACTGCAATTTCGCTTTAGAAACTCCAGTATGAACATCAATTTAATATCTTAATTTCTTCTCTTCACCATATCCACACATAATCTGGAGATAGAAATACTTTTTGATCAAAACTTTACCAGACCCGGAAAAAAAGATTAATATGACGGGACAGTAACTGTGTACATAGTCATTGGGATTGGAATCATATGTTGACAAACATAAACGTCATCTAATCGTCAGGGAACTAATGAGATCGATTAAAGATATTTTATGGGAGAATAAATACTAAGTTCTTATTTTTACAAGATAATATATAGAAAGAAGTTTACTTTGTTTGTTATTTTGCGGGATATAAACCCTACCCTCATACATTAATTTCTATTCATTTTCATTTTTAAGAAGATCATACTTGCCATCCTTTCTCTACTTGTTTATGATCTCATGTTCTTATTGTGTGATGCACATATATATATGGGTTAAGTTTAGACGTGAAGGTCCTGGGTTCGATTCCTCATGGGGTAGTAAATACACTCTACCTACAGTTTGTCATGTTTGGTATAATGACATACCATTTAGATAGTTCGGGTGGGGTAAGTTTGATTATTTTTTGTTTGAAAAACTGTCAGTGAAATATGATAAACTTTATATAGTTAGACAATAAAATACTTTCTAAACAAAACTTTAGGGTAAATAAACAGTCCAACCTGAGTAAAAGAATTTGTAAATGATTTACATATTTAAAAAATTTGATATAAGAATTTACATTTTGTTTTATTAAGTATTCCATTTTTATCGTAAAAATTTCAAAATATTTACAGATTCTAGTTTGCACAGATTCTATGGCTCGCGGCATAGATATTAATGATGTGGAATGTGTCGTATCTTATGATGTACCACCTAGTATCAAAATCTACATTCATCGAATTGGGCGTACAGCTAGAGCTGGTAAGAAAGGAACTGCATACAGTTTATTGTCAACTAACCAGGTAAGCAAATTAATTTTTTTCCTTAAGTGTTCTGAATATATATAGTTCTTTTACCGAATACCAACTTCGTATATTGTACCTACATAGTAGATTATGTTTCATCAGAGTGAAATACATCTGTTTCGGGGCAATGTTTTACATTACATTGCTTGTTGAATGAGCGTTTACCTTAGTTCTCTATTCTTGTTCGTGTGTCTGATATCAAGTAATCTAGTCGCTGTATTGTGTACCGTTTATCTGATTTAACGTAGCGTATTATGCTACAGAAAGAGGAAAATTTTAAATCATCCGTTATACCAGAAACCTTGGATCTAGGTTTCGTGCCAATTGACACTCGTCAGCAAGGAGTACCAGCAATCTTAACGAAATCGTCGCTTCTTCTGAAATTCGAACTCGCATTACCCAGCCCCACACTTTAAGATTTTATCACCGAGGTATTCGGGCTTCCACTAATTTCCTGTAAGACTAAGATATATACAACTGACTGTTCGTGAGTAGTGACCAATCAATTTTATGTTCGTTTTATTCCTTTTTTTATTCTTGTTAAATTCCCTTTTTCCCAATTTTTATTGATTGTTGCCATTGTTATTAGTTCTATCACTTTAAGAAAGATCTCAAGCGTGCTGGTAGAAAAAAAATTAAACAATTACAATTTCATCAAAGTAAATGGTCACATTTCAATACAGAGTATCAGGTTGCATTAAGGAACTATGAAATGAACATGAAGGTAAGACTAATATTGAATTTTAAGTTTGTTTGTTTTTCGAAATCATTTTTTAAAAATACAGTTCGGTTTGATTAAATTATAGGCATAAAAATGCATAAAAGCAAATTGTAAAATGCAATGCACAATATATATATGATCAGTGATTGTCAGTGCATGGTCATCAATTCATTAGTTGACTTACCTTCATGATATAGCTTGACAATACAGTGAGATCAGCTTAGCTACGAGTTCTTGAAATAACAAATGTATCCTTTTCTTTGCCCACCCACCTCAATTAATTAAAAAGTCGAGTTGTAAATAAAACGCCTATTTATGATATAAACAAAATTGACCAGGCTAACAACTATTGTTCATAATTAAATACACTTGTAGTAGATCTTTATTATGACAAGCTTACGCGATTTATCTTAACTTGTGGACAGCTGAATTGGTCTGAACCTACACTTATTTCATCATTTATAAATGTGATCTTGATACATGCTTATAATCGTATGTATATGTCTTATTTTTGTTTGCATCTTTCATGCCTATAGATGCTGAGTCACGCTTGAGTAATCTAAGAATCCTTACCCTATGTTGCGCTTCTTACGGTCTGAGTAAAGGAATGATCGGAATAATTTTCTTCAACTTGGTTCATATTTAGCTATTTTTATACCGCCGTCTCCTAAACTGAGTTAGCCTAAGTAAAATATACTAAATAAAACGGTTTATTCAACATCCTTCATTATGAAGTCAATATGTTCCCACATATTTACGATGCCTTCCGAAGTAAGGCTAAGGATAGTGTGTTACGAGAGGTACGAACTAGTAGGCAAAAAGCATTTTTGATCGCAGTACTGAAACGTAACCTTGAAACTACTGAAACTAATAATGTACTTACTAACACAAGCAGTTTTGGGGATATCAAGTCATTCTTAACACCCCTCTTCCGTAAAACCTCAAGAAGTATAGATTCCTATTTGTTGTGGCTCACAATATCTAAGGCTTGGAATTGATGCACGTTTTCTGTACAACAGCCTTCCTACTTAAGAAAAAAAGAAGGAGGGTGAAAAAGAAAGCTTATTTGACTAAACAGAACCGATTGTACGTGGACTCATCTATATGTTTGTATTTGTCTCTTAGACAATCAAGCTTATTAATGGTTTATATCTTATCCGTTGACAAAAAAAGACATTTCTTGACCAATCACATAGACATCGTTTGGCGATTTCTGATTGACTCACTGTATCACTACTCTTCTCGTCCAAATTAAATACTTATTCGAAAGAGGATCTCCTATGAAACAAATTTTGTACGAGATTTTCTTAACACTATTAGTATCCGATATTGGTAATAACAGTTCAACTTAGTGTAATGTATTTTCAATTATTTTAAAGATTTCAGAGAAAAAATGCCCCAATGATCTTTCAAAACAAGTGAATAATAACAAAAATGTTTCGGAAGAATCAATGCAAAACATTAAGAAGCCGAAGAGTAAACGTAAAAAAAGTACAAATGAAATGCTGAGTTGAAATTGAACAACATAATTCTACTGTATATTATTACCAACATGACTTTACATGTATATAGGCATTACCTGTATAGTAACCCCAAATAGATTTTGTAAACAAATAAATTATTTGTTAAGAAGTGAACATTGAGTTTTAACTTCATGTTACTGAGATATTTCGGTATTCTAAAAAGAGTTTAATGTGTGCATGTATGTCAATAATCTGGGTTTTGTTTGTTTACTTGGTAAATTTTGATATACTTCTTTATTCTTGCTTCCTTATATTTGTATAATTTGATATAGGATGGTTGTATTTCAACAGTCATCTTTGGTTATTTTAAGATGATTTACATTCCAATCCATATAACACATGAACTAAGGAATGATTTTTCTGACACGAAACCATTTACATTATGTTAAGTAGACTAAATATGCAGTTAAATCTTACTGTATATGGACTTGTAAATTTAATTGAACTAATCATGATTCATAAACTCAAGCGCCTTGATATATACATTAAGCGAATTGTTTGATTAAACTTCAATTTTGTATATCACAAATCATCTACCCTAACCAAATAATGTATTCAAAATAATAAATTTATAAATGTAGTTGAAAAAGTGTTTTAGAAATTGGTCTAATTTGTAGATTCAAACACCTCAGGAATAAAACAGTTATTACGAAAGGCATTAGATAATCTTTGCAAGTCACAATTTCGGTTGAATTCACGGGCATAAGTTTTTGATGAAGCTTTCATCGTTCTTCTAAACGACATCATCAGCACAAACTTCAGGTAGAAGTGAAGTATTCAAATCTGTTCACATGTGGTCCACAGCTTGTCCTGTACACCTCGATGTTGATTGGTTCTCGTTGACTTCAAACCTGTCATTGGGAGATACAATCAAAACAAAAAAGTAAGCAATAACAGGTTAAAGGTCAACGAGAACCAGTCAACATCGAGGTGTTCAGAACGAGCTGTGAACCACATGTGAACAGATTTGAGTACTTCACTTCTACCTGAAGTTTGTGCTGATGATGTCGTTCAGAAGAACGATAAAAGCTCCACGACCAAATCATCCATCTCAGAGAACAAAACTCCATCAAAATCATCCACCTGAGCTACAAATCTTCTTCACGGGCATAAGTAACATAATAATCGGAAATGTATCTAGACATTGACGACCTACCTATTCATGCCATCTAGATATTTTAACAAGTTGTCTGTTTTTGTTTTAACACATCATTATGTCTACCAATCGCATAACCTATTCAGGCGTGTTTATGAAATGTTTACGACATTTCGCTTTATAAGTTACAAAAAAATGCAATTAGAGACACTGTTTTCAACCATAAGTGTCATGTTTTAAGTTCACCAACCTCTGACATTCACTAGTCACTTCTTGTAGCGTTATATTTGAACACTGTTCAATTTTACTCGGAATTCTAGCCCTGATGTTGGCATCTTCAGGTGACTGCAAGCTGCATACAAAAAAGACACTTGAACTGGTCTTCTGTCATTGATGATAATCTGAAAGGCTCACACTCGCGATTTACTGTGCCAGCGTGTTGCACCCAGTCATTGTCTTCAGCTTTCGCCAAATTAAGACATTGGTAACAAATACTGAACAAAGATAACTGTTCACCAAAGATTTGCGACAAAGTTACAACTGTTGTATCAAATGAAAGGTCTCTGGAATTCTTAGGGTGAAGTAGCAGTACTCTGACCTTTGCGATATCATCAAGTTTTTCTAGGTCGACCTTGGATACATCTTTGTATTTCTTGAACCACGATTCAAATTAACGCCAGCCAAACCATCAAAATGAAACTCGTGGATAGAATTAACGATATGGTCGACATGGGCTTTGAACGAACCATCTGTAAACCCCTTTTGATTTAGGTTCATTTGCTGAGTTAGGGCTTCTAGAATACGAACTTAGAACTGTTCGAAACGTTTTTCTTGGCGCTCTAGCATGGCTTCGAATTAGTCAAAGGTAAGTGACATCTTGATAAGTTAACCCCGTCGCTAGTTGTCATATCTAAAACTTAGTTTCTTATTATACCACGTACAAAATGGGCACTCGAACTCTAGAACCCCGCAGGTTGCAAATGAGAAGACAGAAGATAAGTGAAAGGAATGCTATTCCAATCAGTGTCAATCATGGTACAAAACTCAGGTATTTATAGTTTCTGGTAATAACGAAATCGTCACTATAGTCCTCCAATCCGTATACAGGGGGTTTTTAGCATTTGTTCAATAGGGAAGCTACACGTTGAGATTCTGGAATGTCCCTCCAAAAGATGATTGGTTGGAATATCTTCAGCTCTTTCTGAGCTCATTGGAGCTTCCTAGAATTCACCCATGGGCTAACCTCACACTGGCGATATGAATTAAAAAGAATAGACATTATTTAGATGTCGATTCTTGAACTCCTAACATCTAACTTAACTGATTTTTAAAAAAATTAAGTAGCTCTTTTTTCTAATCAGAACTGATATGCATGTTTTCTTAACATTATCTTCTTGATAAACTTGCTAGAATATAGAAGATATTTTAAAGGGAATGACTACTAGATTGCTTAAACCTTTGTTCAGTCGAAGTCACTGCTTCAAAGTAAAATCCACCTCACCATTTCAATGCTTAGTTTACTCCTAACACTTAAAATGTGTTGTGTTCAAATAAATTATGATTGTAAAAATGCTGGACGTGTTCTTAGGTTGGATCACTTTGTTATTGGTTAGTCTTCCATTTAGTAAGTTTTGATGAACTCTTATGTATGCAAATCTTTAAATTCACATATCGCACTAGCGCAATATAATCTCTAATCGGCTCAGTTGTCTATGTGCAGATCACTTTCATTACTAAACATCAATTTTCAGTGTATTCCCATGTTACTCATTTCAAAGTTTCCAGATCCACATCAGACTACAACTACTGATTGAATGTGATGTCATCTTGATTGATGTTTCATTAAATATTATTTCACTTAATGTGATATATCGAAACTTCTTCACTGACTACAATTTGAACACATTTACACACCAAATGATTTATATATTAATGCTTTAAAAATTCGTATTCAATATTTTAACATGATTAGACAGTTGTTTAGTAAACGGTTATTTTGTAACACTATTCATATTCGATAATTTTGATCGTCTCCCTCAAGATCGCCGTGCTAAATCTCGGTTTCAGTTTTCTAAGTATTCAGCGCGAAACTACTGTAAAACCATTCATTCTAATTTGGATAGATGTTCTTATTTATCTTTGATCATCTACTGAGTTGTTCCGAAACCAGTTTGTTTCACATGTTTAGAGAGCGGCAATTTGTGTAATTCGTATTGTAGTCACTCCGGTTGGTGTAGGTTAAAAGTCCCATGTGAAAGAACCATTATCCACGTGATATGGATTGTTTAGAGATCCAGTGTAATATTTCTCTCTCGGAGAACTCGGATATAATAACAACCACTTTTGTTAACATGTCTGGAGCATTATTGGTTATAAATAATGACAGGATGTCGTTTCTATAATACTTAGTTATTTTCTTTTCAGAATATTACTATCGCATGTATTATTTCAGTACTGCCCATTTGTGTATTCTATATCCCGTTGTCTGAAGCAATGATTTAACGGTTAGAGCTTCCAATGACTTTCAAACGACATGACTGCTTATCTGAAGTCCCACTCTACGTTATTCAATCAGCTTTCGCAGTTAGTGTTACTAACCTTCATACAAAAAGTATACCTCGAACCCAAATGAATAAACCTGTAACTGATAAACCATTTACACTATTTGATATCTAGATATTTAGGTTTTAATTTTCTTAAGCTCATATGGGTTGCTTAAATGGCAACTCTTCTCAGAGTTACCTTTAACCGGGGTTACTCAGAACTTAGCATGTAAATGTGTCGTAAATAAACTGATATCATGTTATGGATTATTAATATTGGTAATACTAATTCTAACCTTGTTTTACATAGATATTTATTAAGTTAGCTATTATCTAATTCGAATCCCTTTCTATTTAAATTAGTTTCTTAATTAACATCCGGATGGATTTATAAAGTTGTCCAAAAACATGCAATCATTCTGAAAGTATGTGATCTCAGAAGCCGACATGCTTATTGTCGTTATTTTACAATTTATTAATGTTAAATCAGTTAGTCGTTCATTTTTTAACAAATTTAAATCCGAAATGAAACAATTCCAATTTAAAACTATTTTTTCACCATTGGGATACTTTGATAACTATGTACATCATAGTAAACGATAAGTGCATAAAAATCTCACTAAATTCGATGAATAATACTTGACTGTTGAATTTCATGGTTTGCATTGGGAACCAGTTTTAGTTTGACAACCGTTGAAAGGTAGGAGGAACTCAACAGCTGTTTCGTTCTAGCATGTGACTCTCATCAGTGCATATTTATAACCCCCAGGAATCGGACTCTGAACATTCCGATATCCCTGTGAGCTCTTCGATTTTATTTCACAAAGTTGACTTCGGACAATTTACATTTCTAATTCTAGTTAATATTCAATATTGGTGTGGTCGTGGATTTTCACTGCCAGTAAATCCCATACTAGGATGAAGGTCTTTGTCCATTATTTCCTGGTTTTGAATAATACACTCACCAAAGTCAGTCTGTGGTGTAAAACGTCAAATTTTTAGTTGAACCTTAAGCTAATACGTCATCTTATGGATGATGGAAGCTCATGCAGTTAAATAGAAACCTATGAGTCACTAAACATTCAAGTACTTTACATTTATATCAAAGTTGTTATTTTAAGGTTGGCATTCACATTAACGCTTTAAAATAAATGTTTATCGAGGATCCTACTCGTCACTTTTCCTACGAAGACATCATTACAATGGGAAATATGTATACACAGCTATATCTATTACATAGTGTCGTTATTGTGGTTATATAGCTGTTTTCTGGGGGAGATATTAAAAGTCCTTTTTAAACTCTGTGGTGAAATAAGTAACATGTCCAAGCAAAGTCAAAACATCCATCATATTACCCAATACCAACGGTATCATAAGCTCACTGTATAGTAAATATGACTTGAAGTATATGCTACATAGAGGAATCTGTGATTACAATATACTGAATTTATGATGCTTCACCTCTAATATATATTTGTAAAACCAACTACTTAACCCAGACTTTTACACCTCTCATCACACTTATTGTTAAATATTCAATAATATAAAATTGTCCTGTAAGAATTTATTTGTAATTTATACTTATTCAGTCAGTAAATAGTAATTTTTATTTTTACTATTATTACGTAGCAAATTTGATTAAGCCGCTGTCAGTCTTGTAAACTGACGTGTAATCTAAAGTAACTTTCAGGATATTATATATTTATATACCTTTATTTTTCATTTGTAATTTGTTTGGATTAGACAATGGTTATTCAAATGTTAATACTGTGTATAGTTTCAATTCTGTCATTTGCCTACGCTGATATTACTACTACTACTACTGCTAATACTACTACCATTACATTGAATAATTCGGTTAATACTGTACAACCTTATTTTAGTTGTAATATGACTCAACGCGGTTTTCATCTTCGATTGCATTGTGATTTCCATGATTTTTCAATTAGTTTACTGGAGCATTGTCAACTTCATGTACATTTACCATCAGGTATTTTATAATTTTGTATTTTATGTTATATACTCTTATCAATAATGTTATTTTTCAAATAAAAAGTGTAGGGAATTTTCAAATTGTTACTCTTCGTACAATAATCGACAATAGAATAAATGAGTAACTCAATTAAAATCAGTGTTAGATTGCGTATAAACCAATCGTTGGTCACCGGATACCATGGGACTGCATCTCCTGACATTGTTTCACTGCCTTGTGGATCAGACCTTTAGGTCGAAGGCTCCGGATGTGGCCTCCTGAGAAAACCACCTGATTCGGTTTGAGCACTCGGGCAGTATACCAGCCCTCACACAAATCGAATGAATTATGTGGCGCATACTGATTTGATGCCTCGTACCAATGTTCATATGTTTAAATAATAAATATGCGAATAAGAACTGTCTATTGTAGATCTATCCGATTGTAATCTTGTTCTATTAATGGGAGGCCAGTTATCTAAAAGATATATACTAGGAAATCGGACGACTTTGAGATGGTGGTAAAGATTTGTAGCTCAGATGGATGAACTTGATGGAGTTTTGTTCTCTGAGATGAATGGTTTGGTCGTGGAGCTTTCATCGTACTTCTGAACGACATCTTCAGCACAAACTTCAGGTAGAAGTGAAGTATTCAAATTTGTTCACATGTGGTTCACAGCTTGTCCTGTACACCTCGATGTTGATTGGTCCTTGTTGACCTTTAACCTGTCATTGTTTACTTTTTTTATTTTGGTTGTATCTCCCAATGATATTCACTGTTTAATATAAACTAACTGATATTTTCTAACTCATTTTCAGGTTTTTTCATTGATCCATATGAATTAACTTCCAGTCAACCGAACTTAAAATTTTCAATTAGTCAGTCAGAAATACAACCAAAATTACATGATACCATTAAACAATTTGTAAATTGGTTTACATATTCTAAGTTGGAGAAGAAAAATACCGATCATTCCGATGAAAGTAAACAATTAATTATTCAGAATAATTTGGTTGATATTGAAGCTCCAGAATGGCTTGCTAAACCATTAACATTCAAATTTAATATTAATCAACTGGGGATAAATCAATCAATTAGTTATTTAGATTTACCTATTCATCTACGATATCAGTATGTTTTATTTATGTATTCATTTGTTAAATGAGTTCTGAGTACATGTTATGTTCGGTAATAAACTTTATCGATTATTTTCAACCATTTAACATCTCAACACAAGACATATGATGTCGACTCATTTAAACTAGTGGACACAATGAAACTTCACCAATAGAGTCCTATCGGCACGAACTGACTAGACAAACACAGCATAAGTCATTATTCAATGATCAATCATTCGTAAATATCTGTTCTACATTAAGTCAACCGTGCCCCGAACACCTTAATGGTAATGTATCAGACTGGCGAATTAAATGACACGTTTTTGAATTCCATTAAAAGTATCAATTCCATCAATATTTCAGGTACTCCTAGCTAACAAGTGTCGATATAAAACCCAGGTCCAAATTTTCCTGCAACTGCCTCCCATCATTTAACATAAATAATTCACAAATATCTGTTCGCTGTAATACTGTTTAGTAGTATTCAGTTATAATTATGTCGTTATTAACGTGATGATAAGTGCGAATCACTAGTATTAGATTTGAGATTGTCATCCTTTCTAATAATTGAGAATCATGCCTTGTACCATTTAAATTTCAGTCAAACATTCACAACATAATTCCTTTTTGATTATGTCCAGCCACTTTTATAAATACACCAACAATTCAAGCTTCTTATGGTTCCCTGTTTTTCTAGCTCTTCTAGAGTTACTGCCGGTCCCAAGCCCGGGTAAAGGAGGAGGGTTGGGCATGGGGTTAGCATCCCCATCCCGTAGAAAACTAACTCGCTAAAAAAACGCTTACCAGAAAAAATAATTCAAACCATTTTAACTCTGCCCTGAGAGTTAGAAGGTCTTCATTTAGAAGAATTATGACGCTTCATGGTGAAAGCCGAGTTCCTTCAGAAGCCACGAGGCCGATGCCCCTTCTAACAACCAGAGCAAAAGTTTTTATAGGTACATGGAACGTTCGAACAATGTGGGAAACCGGGAAGACCAGCCAAATAGCAACGGAAATGAGGAGATACAACTTAGCAGTATTGGGAATCAGCGAAACCCACTGGACCCAAGCTGGACAGAAAAGGCTAGCTACGGGAGAAATGCTGCTATACTCCGGTCACGAAGAGGAAAATGCTCCACACACTCAGGGAGTTGCTCTAATGCTGTCCAAAGTAGCACGAAATGCACTTGTAGGATGGGAATCTCACGGATCCAGAATCATCAAAGCATCATTTAAAACAAAGAAGGAGAGGATCTTAATGTATGTTATTCAATGTTATGCACCCACCAATGATAGCAACGACGACATTAAAGATCAATTCTACGAGCGGCTGCAGTCAATCATAGAGAAATGCCCAAGAAAGGACCTCACCATTCTAATGGGCGATCTAAATGCCAAAGTCGGAATAGACAACACTGGATATGAAGATATTATGAGACGACATGGACTGGGAGAGAGGAACGAAAATGGAGAAAGATTTGCAAATTTGAGTGCATTCAACAAATTAGTCATAGGAGGCACAATATTTCCACACAAGCGTATACACAAGGCTACATGGATCTCACCGGACCACACTACAGAGAACCAAATAGACCATGTTTGCATCAACAAAAAATTCAGAAGGACAATGGAAGATGTGAGAACCAGGAGAGGAGCTGACGTAGCTTCAGATCACCACCTAGTTGTAGCCAATTTAAAACTGAAGCTAAAGAAAAACTGGACAAGTGGACAAACAGCACTACAAAGGTTCAATACAGCCTTCCTTCGAGATACTGACAAACTCAATGAATTCAAGATAGCTCTCAACAACAGGTTCCAAGCCTTACAAGATCTACTGAAGGAAGAAGAAACTACTATGGAGGATAACTGGAAAGGCATCAAAGAAGCATGAACTTCAACGTGTCAAGAGGTTCTGGGCCTAAAGAAACAGCATCATAAGGAATGGATCTCTATAGAAACTCTAGACAAGATCAAAGAAAGGAAGAACAAGAAGGCAGCAATTAACAACAGCCGAACACGAGCAGAAAAAGTTCAAGCACAAGCTGAATACTTAGAATCAAACAAGCAAGTGAAGAAGTGCATTAGAGCAGACAAGAAGAAATACATGGAAGAATTAGCAACGACGGCAGAAAAAGCTGCTAGAGAAGGAAATATGAAACCGCTTTACGATACAACGAAGAAACTAGCAGGGAAATACAGTAAACCAGAGAGGCCGGTCAAAGACAAAGAAGGCAAGCCAATCACCGAAATTCAACAACAGCGTAACAGATGGGTAGAATACTTCGCGGAACTCCTGAATAGGCCGGCTCCAATGAATCCACCGAACATCGAAGCAGCACACACAGATCTTCCTATAGATGTCAACCCACCAACGACGGAACAAATTAGAATGGCCATCAGACAAATCAAGAACGGGAAAGCAGCAGGACCCGACAACATACCAGCTGAAGCACTGAAATCAGACGTCGAAGTAATCACAAGCATGCTTTACCCTCTATTCAAAAAGATTTGGGAGGAGGAACACGTGCCGATGGACTGGAAAGAAGGACACCTCGTCAAGATTCCAAAGAAAGGAGATCTGAGCAAATGTGAAAACTACAGAGGCATTACACTACTGTCAATACCAGGGAAGGTCTTCAACAGAGTGTTGTTGAACCGGATGAAGGATGCAGTAGTCTCCCAACTTCGAGAACAACAAGCTGGATTCCGTAAGAATCGGTCGTGCACAGACCAAATTGCAACACTACGGATCATCGTCGAACAATCAGTTGAATGGAACTCGTCACTATACATCAACTTCATTGAATATGAAAAGGCATTCGACAGTGTAGATAGGAGGACATTATGGAAACTTCTTCGACACTACGAAGTTCCTGAGAAGATTGTCAATATAATCCGGAACTCATACGACGGACTACAATGCAAGGTCGTGCATGGAGGACAGCTGACAGATGCATTCCAAGTAAGGACCGGGGTCAGACAAGGCTGTTTACTCTCTCCCTTCCTCTTTCTTCTGGTGGTCGGCTGGATTATGAAGACCTCGACATCTGAGGGAAAACACGGAATACAATGGACAGCTCAGAACCAATTAGACGATTTGGACTTCGCAGATGACCTAGCCCTCCTATCGCGTACACACGAACAAATGCAGATAAAGACAGCCAATGTAGCAGCAGTCTCTGCATCAGTAGGCCTCAGTATACACAAAGGGAAAACCAAGGTCCTCAAATTCAAAGCGGAGAAAAGCAACCCAATCACTCTTGATGGCGAAACTCTGGAAGATGTAGAATCCTTCACATACCTAGGAAGCATCGTCGATGGACAAGGAGGTTCAGATGCAGACGTAAAGGCGAGGATTGGTAAAGCAAGGGCCGCATTCCTACAATTGAAGAACATATGGAACTCAAAACAACTTTCAACCAATATCAGAGTGAGAATCTTCAATACGAACGTCAAGGCAGTTCTACTGTACGGAGCTGAGACTTGGAGAACTACAACAACCACCATCAAGAAGGTACAAGTATTTATAAATAGCTGTCTACGCAAGATACTCAACATCCATTGGCAGGATACCATCAGCAATAGCCTTCTGTAGGAGAGAACAAACCAACTTCCAGCTGAAGAGGAAATTAGGAAAAGACGATGGAAATGGATAGGACATACATTACGCAAATCGTCAAACTGTATCACGAAACAAGCCCTAACTTGGAATCCTGAAGGGAAGCGGAAAAGAGGAAGGCCAAAAAACACATTACGTCGGATAATAGAAGCAGATATGAAAAGGATGAATTACAACTGGAAGGAGTTGGAAAGGATTGCCCAGGACAGGGTTGGATGGAGAATGCTGGTGAGCGGCATATGCTCCTTCACGAGGAGTAACAGGCGTAGGTAAGTAAATGCCCTAGTACGGCCGAGAGTGGGGAGAGTCCGCTCTCCCTCTCGAAATGCTCTCACACGGCCACGCGTATACAGCCTCTGCCAGGGAAGTCCTACTCATTGCCTTCTCGTGGCGGGGGGTATTGTTTACGAAAATGAGAGGATGAAAAGCGAATGTCCGGAGCTTTAACCGGATTCCAAACTAATGGTGCACATGGGCTCCAGTGTCCTGCGGGAACAAATGGCGTATGAACCAATCGTTGGTCACCGGCTACCATGGGACTGCATCTCCTTATGATGCTCCATTGCCTTGTGGGTTAGACCTTTAGGTCAAAGGCTCGGGGTGTGGCCCCCTAAGAAAACCACCTGTTGGTGTGGGCACCCGGGCAGTATCACAGCCCACACGCAAATGATGAACTCTCTATATCTATGGAAACTACTTTTCTCGCTTCGAATAACAATCAAATTATTATTATTATTATTATTATCATTATTATTATTATTATTTACCACATTATTCACCCTCTTTTATACTTATACAGCGGCTCGTCTTTGGTGGAAATCCGACTGTATCTAAACGTTTTCGAGTCACTGTCCGGTTGAAAATTGTATGTTGCCACCGAATATGAGTACTGAAGCAGTTTTTCTGAAACCACGTGCACCATTCAAACTGGCTGCCTTCAACGTCCGCACATTTATGCAGGTCGGACAACAGATAGGGCTGGCTATGTCTTCGGAAAGTCTTAATATCGATATCTGCTGTCTATCCGAGACCCGTATTCAAGACTCTGGTGAAGTACTACAAATTCGATCTCCATCTGTCGCTTCGAAAAGCTTCTTTTACGTGGGCTTATCCGGGGACCTCGTGGCATCTTCGTCTGGTCTTGCTGGCGTTGATGTCACACTAAGCGCTAGAGCTGAGGTAGCACTAATCGATTGGATCCCCATTAACAGTCGGTTATGTGCTGTTAGATTAGAAAGTTCCATCAAAGTGAGAAGAAATCGGCGTGAGAAACGATGTCTTTTCGTCATCTCCGCCTATGCCCCGACAGATTGCAGCCCGGATGCAATCAAGGATGAGTTTTACCACCAGTTAACTGTTCTTCTCCAGAAAGTGCGTTCGACAGTTATTGTAGTACTAGCCGGAGACTTGAATGCTCAGGTCGGGCGTCTAGGCACAAAAGAGAGTCGTTTAGGTGGCCGATGGGGACTCGTTGGTCGCAGGTCAGATAACGGGGACCGTCTACTGCAACTGTGCACAGACCACAACCTGTTTCTGGCTAGCACTAACTTTCGGCACAGTCATCACCGATGTGCCACCTGGCGTCCTCCCTCTGCATCCCAAGCCTGGACTCAGATTGATCACATCGCGATCAGCTATCGCTGGCGTGGTTGTGTACAAGACTGCCGCTCCTTTTGGAGTACCTATCTGAACTCTGACCATGCCTTGGTTTGCGCCAATCTTGCCTTACTTTTCAGTGGACAACGAAGTGACCGCCATCAACGGATTGATATTAACAAGCTGGTTGCAACTTCTGTTGCAAGTAAGTATCGAACCGAGCTAGCTTCTAGGCTAGCTACCATTCCACCGAAAAGTATAGATGAGCATAGGTTGCAATTGCATGACGCCATGAAAATGGCGGGTACAGTCAGTTGTGGGTTCACAAAACGTCCCGCTTATAAGCACAGGGTTTCTTCTGGTTCCTTACAACTCATTGAAGCCCGTCGGTCTACTCCGGGTGACCGTGAGTTTGACCACAAACGAAGGATGTTACGTAAGGAAATTGGGCAAAGCTTGCGTAAGTACCGACAAGCCTGGTGGTCGGAGCTTGCTAATGAGTTGGAAGCAGCAGCTGTATCTGGTAATTACCGGAAGCTCTTCCAACTCATCCGAGCCACTGGCAGCAAGAAGTCTGGTGTGAGCGAAACAATCTGCGAGGATGATGGGATGCCAATCACTAACATCCATCGACGTCTTGGACGATGGGCAGAATTTTTCGAAGGGCAGTTCAACTGGCCTGCTGCTCCGGCAACATCGGTCAGTCTGTCCTGCTCTCTATGGCCGGTGACGACTGATCCACCAAATGAGGCGGAAGTCCGCAAGAAACTCCAACTCTTGAAGCGTTACAAATCACCTGGCCCAGATGACTTACCTCCGGCTCTTTTTAAAGATGGTGGTGACTTTCTGACTAAGGAATTGATGACGTTGTTTACAAAGGTTTGGGAACTAGAGAGTGTACCAACGTCAAGGAATGAGTCGATAGTTGTCCCTATCTTTAAAAAGGGTTCACGTAATTTCTGTAACAACTATCGGGGGATAAGTCTACTTCGATTGCGTCCAAGCTATTGGCTTCTGTCAAACTTCGTAGGCTGTTCAAAACCCGAGAAAGGTTGACTCGCGAAGAGCAGGCTGGTTTCCGTTCCGGTCGAGGATGTATTGATCATATCTTCACCTTCCGCCAAATGTTAGAATACCGTCATACTTATCAAAGATCAACAATCGTAGTATTTCTTGACATCAAGGCTGCCTTCGATTCGTTGGACAGGACTGTTCTCTGGGATCGTCTATTGAAGAAGGGTGTACCTGAGAAGTTTATTAACATCCTAAAGGCCCTAAAGACAAACACCTCAGGCAGAGTGAGGGCATACAACCACCTCTCTCCATTGTTCCATTCGAGCAGTGGGGTTAGGCAGGGTTGCCCAATCTCACCATTCCTCTTCAACTTTGCCATCGATGACATTCTGGAAGCAGCTCGGATGGATGTAAGTATTGGCGGTGTGGATCTGTTGCCTGGAAAAAGACTTCTCGACCTTGAGTATGCGGACGATATTGTCTTACTGTGCGATAATGCCCAAGGCATGCAATCCGCACTTAATCAGTTGGCAATCAGTGTCCGTAGGTATGGTATGTGCTTTGCACCTTCGAAGTGCAAAGTACTTATATAAGACTGGCAGGATTCTAATCCTGTACTCACCCTAGATGGTTAGCAGATAGAAGTAGTCGAGAAGTTCGTGTATCTGAGTAGCTGCATAAGTGCTGGTTGTGGCGTGAGTGATGAGATCAATGCACGAATAGTGAAAGCCAGAGCGGCTTATGCCAATCTGGGCCATCTTTGGCGCCTTCGTGATGTCAGTCTGGCTGTAAAAGGTCGGATCTACAACGCGTCGGTGATAGCAGTTCTGCTCTATGCTTGTGAAACCTGGCCTCTCCGATTTGAGGATGTTAGACTACTCTCTGTGTTTGATCATCGTTGTCTCCAAAGGATTGCTGATATCCAGTGGCAACACCATGTTAGTAATGCAGAGGTTCGGTATCGTGTGTTCGGGCACAGAGACGATAATTCAATTGGTGTCACCATCTTGAAACATCGACTTCGGTGGCTTGGACATGTTCTACGAATGTCGTCCCAGAGAATTCCACGTCGTGCATTCATTGCCGACTCTGGGACTGGTTGGAAGAAGCGGTGAGGTGGTCAGTGCATGACATTGTGTCGTGGTATGAAAGAAAGCTTCAAAGGGCTGGCTTGTGTTGGTCCTTCACGACTCCTAGAGATGGTGCGACAGAGTGGCTATAGACGTTATCAGATACGGCTCAGAATAGAAGCCGGTAGCGATCCTGCTGTAACCTTCTTTTACTTTCTTCAGAAAAAGTGACCGTAACTTTAACTGAAAGAGTTCTTTCTGGTTGTATTTTTCTGTTTCCCCCATAATTAATTGATATCAGAATCATTGTCGCTAACCAGAGAAGTAGGTTTTTCTTCCGTAAAATTTCACACTTATGTATGAAATATTAAACAAAAAATGAAAAATCATTAAAACCGAAACGACTGGGAGATACATACTTCACAGATCACTTAAATATCAGTGGAATGAAGATCTGACTATCAAGTCTTGTCCGATGATGAGTAAAAATAACTGTATATCTGTGATTGCTTGATACCATAAATTTACCAACATGTGTTCAGTAGTATTCACTTCTGTTATGCATCCTTATAGAAGGTAGGCTAATTAAACCGATCACATGTTATAGTGTGTATGCAAAATCCATATTATTCTTGATGTGATCCAATAAACATCCAAGATTTCATTTACTACACTTTGGTTTGTGCTTGTCGTCTAATAGCTGACACATTGTGTTTGACTGATTCAACCTCGGTGAAAGTGGACCTCAATTCGAACCGTTTTCTCATTGTAATATCACTTCACATTTATGTTCAATCATTTAGCGTTTATAACTAGATTAACTCTTGTTCTATCTATCTCAGACTTTCATTATTTCTTTACTTTTTAGTCTCCCATCAACAAAAACTGATAACACTAATGATGATTCTATATATATTACTGAAATTAAACATCCTATACTAAGTTGTCCAAAAGGCAATAATGTCAGAAATATAAACAGTCAACAGTTTTTCTCTATCATTGTTCCTATACCTTTGTTATCTTACCTTGTATTTGTGATGCCTATTACAATTTTACTGCTAATTATGGGTATGATATATCTCTTGATGGCCTAATCTGATTCTCATATATATATTCCTCATTTTTATCGCTGACTTCATACATAATTATTTTTTGTATATTGACATATCTTAAAAGAAACCGTTGCGTAAACAGCTTATTTTAATGATAAAAAAGTTATTTCCTTTCTTTTATCCTATTTCTCACATATGTTTAGAGTTAATCTATATTGTTATTTGGTTCAAATTAATATAAAATGTATTTAAAACAATCAGTCTCTTTGATAGATGTAGATAATTCTATGGTAAGATGAAGGTTATCAGATGTGATACTTTTATGCAATGAATTCTGAACAATCTGTTCATACATTATTGTTAGTTATGTTCATAATTATTCAATCAAATCGTTGTTTAAGCGCCCACCACGTCGATTTGATCTGATATATTTGTAAATCATCCCTGTTGCATGTAACTTGCCGATTGAAGGGGATTATTTTCCTATTATATTAGTGTGACTCGTCATTTCTATTCATTTCGATAAAACAGGTGATACTGGTCGGTATGTTTGTGCGTTCCAAATAATGACTATAATTACTTTAATTATTGTACTAATCAAATTGTTATTTCCACATTTAGAAACAGATAAAGTTTAAAGCCAAGTTGTCCTTGTTCTGACTATACCTTCCACATAGACTCTGAGGTCGCCAGTATTGCGTTCACAGTTCTAGTAGTGTATCTGTAGGTCAAATCAAATCCTACGATACTTTGACCAGTAACTCATCAGAAATTCATACGTTAAGTGTTAATAATGTCTACGGAGAATCATAAAACTGAGTTGTCTCCCCACTATTCAGAAACTCATACTGATAACCAGTTTGAAGAAAACGACTACCGAATGGATCCCTTATTAGAGTTAAAATTAGAGTAAGCTTAACTCAGACAAAGAGAAATTGGGTTGGAAAGATTACGTCACAAAGGAAGAGAACACCATAGATATTTTGTGGCTGACAAGGTGATGTGCGAATCTACATCTTCCTTACCTGCAGTTGATGTCCCTCCTGGAAAGGACTGGATAACAATGATATCTAAATCTTTAGACCTACCAAAGTGAGAGGTTTGATGGTAATCTCATGAACTACTGGAGTTTCATACGGAATCTCGATGAGTGTTTGAAGTAGAACTATGCTAAACTATTTGGTTTAGTATTAAGATTGTAAAGCTAATGCTAATATTGTACATTGCTCGAACCAGAAGAGAGAGAGAGCCTCTATCTAATGACCTTTGTGAATTTGTGGGAGAGCAGTCGGGTATTGCTAAAACCAAGTACTGATTACTTGTCGGTGGAGATCCCTCTAATAGCAACCAAAGGCAGTCGGCTGTTGTTACTAAAAGGAACCTTGATTCAAGGTATACGGCGGGAGTGTCGTTCGCTAACACGTGCGGGTCTGATGTCACACCACACGTAAGACCAAGCACTCTTAAGTTGTCATTTTTATTATGTACTGAAAACCACCCTTTAGACCAATATGAATGGTTTAGAGATAAGGATATTAATGATATGATAGAGTTTGTGCTAACGAAGTTTTTTAATGTCTATCTGAAGGCGAACCACATACCAAGAAACTGTCAAGCACCGAGGTCATATACTGTCGAAGGAGACACCATGTCTTTTTACACATGAAGTGGGAAGAGCAGAAAGACTGTAATAGTAATGGCCACATTAATACCCGACTCAATAGGGAGGGAAGTGCTAAGCGTGTATGGAGACAACTGGCATTTGCAATAGCGCCTGTAATGGTAAAAAATAAAAAAGGGTGGTACAGACATGCGCTTTACTAGATAGCGGTCTAGACGCTTCGTTCATTATAGAATATCTTGCTAGAAGGCTGGGTTCAGAAGGAGGGTCCGAGACGGTTTTATTAAAAACGCTGGATAGCCAGTTCACATTTCATTGCAAAGAGGTTCAACCAGAAGCTTCCTCCTTAAATTATTCTTCATCATCCAGAATTCCAAAGGTATGGATATTAGAGAGGTTACCTATATTGCGTAGGACAGTACCGACGACATCTCAGATGGCATCGTGATCTCACGTGCACAGTGTGACCCTCTCAAAGGTTGTCAATGTATTGATAGGGTGTATGTACGTGAGGCCATGGGACGAAGGAATAGAGAGTGGGAAAATGATCGAACTGTACTCTACAAAGACTTTAGGGTGGGTGCTGTTTGTACCTTACCATGAGACCACGAAAAATATGAGTATCTTAAATTACCTATCGTCTAAAGTTGAACTAGAAGCTAGACTAGAGCAGTTATATAGGATGGACTTTGAAGACGACCCGAATCACCATGTGCTCATGTCGGTTGATGATCGTAAAGCCCTGGATGCTATGTCCAAATCCATACAGTTAGTAAACGAAGATTTCCAAATAGATTTGCCCTGACGTCACCAACACAGGATACTTAATAATCGAAAACTGGCGATGAGTATATTAAATTCCCTGAGGAACCGGATCATCTATGACCAGAGATTGCATAAGGATTATGTTAATGTGATGGTAGAACATGGTGAACGGAGCTACTCCCAAAAAACCACGCAGAACTCGATTAGTTGTCGGCTTTGGTATTTAACGCACCACAATGTCTTCCATCCGAAAACACCTAGTAAGCTAAGAATCGTATTCGACTGTGCAGCATAATAGACCGGGACGTCCCAGAATAAAATCTTGTATTCTGGTCTAGATTTGGTCAACAGTCTGGTATATGTCTTCACCAAATTTCAGCAAAGGCATATAGGTCTCACGGCAGATATTGAAGAAATGTTCCACCAATTGTTTGTTCCGTTACAGGATCGTGATGCCCCTAGATAGAAGGGAATTTGTTTGGTGCGAACTCCTCATCAAGTTGCGCAACGTTTGCTCTACAAAGAACTATCCTGGCTATTGCGGACAGGTTTCCTGAATGTATTATACAGACATCAAAGGAACAGTTCTGTGTCCACGATTTATTGATCAGTATTGATACGTTAGAAGAAGCTAAATTAACATATTCACAACTGAAGATGTTACGTTTAAGGGGTTTAAATCTAACCAAATGAACCAGCAACAATGTTGGATCCGTGAAGTTTGTTCCAGAGGAAGTCTGCATAGAAAGGACGGTAGACATATGTTTATATATGGAAAGAAACGGGATGACTCTACGAAAAGAGTGGGATGTTCGAACGTATAAGACCTGCTTCGAAGTGCACGAATTCGAAACGACCCCTACAACGAGAACTATTTTATCGCATGTAGTCTCGATATTCGACCCAGTTGGGTTTATAGCACTAGGTGTTTTACTAGCTAATTTAATTATGCAGGATACTCGTCGGAAAAATTTGGCGTGGAACGCAAAGCTTCCTAGGGAGTGCTTTATGAGATTGGACTGTCGGCTCAGAAGTATGAGGCTCCTAAGTAAACTGTTACTGTCCAGATGTCTCGTACCAGAATCTTACAAACCACTAGCTACTTAAATTCAGTGCTTTGCCGATGCCTCGAAATTTGCGTATGGTGTTGTGGCGTATGCTCCTCTCCCGTCAAGTTAATTGCTCCATTCTACTAGCTTAGTCCAGGGTTGCCCCACTTAAACTTATAATCACTCCTAGAATGGAATTAACAGCTGCTGTACTATGTGCTAAGATTGAAAAACACATGGAACAACAATTGCGTATTCCTATCTCTTCTATCACTTATTGGACAGAGTCATTAACCGCACTTCATTGTATAGGAAACACAACCAAAAGTTTTGAGAGTCGTAAGTAATAGCTTAGCAACGATTCGCGAAATGTCTACAGCGATCCCATGTATATGTGTTAAAAGTAAACAGAATTCTGTGGATTGCCGTCAGATAATATCATTAAGCTAAATGAGTGATTTCACGGACCGAACGCTTCGTCCACAGTATGAGTATGAGATTAGATAGAAGACGGTTAATTCTTGATTGATTGGGACTGGAAGAAATTGGTAGCGCGAAGCAGAATATAATTAAATTGATTCAAATGATCTCATTTCCCATAGAGATGGAGACACTAAGGCAAGCACGGCAAAACATGTGAATCGCAAGAAAAACCGAGCAGAGTAGGTGCACTTGTTTCGAATAAGGACATGACACTCCATGTAATGTCTGCTGGTAAGAAAATGAGAACTAGGCTCAAGCTGCTATCAAAAGTCCTAAAACGGTGCTTCTTATGCGAGAGACTCAACAGTACGCCGACACAGATTATGGCTCCACTACTTGAATGTCTCCTTGAAGGCTTTGTACCACCATCCAATTATGTTGGCACAGACTATCTTGGACCATTTTACGTTAGGAAGAGGCGAGTCGTTGAAAAACGATACAGTTGTTTATTCACTTGCCTGTTTATTGTAGAAGTTTGTCCCAAAATGGCTCACACCTTGGATACTGACTCGTTTTATGCGCTCTCTTGAGATTCGTTGGTAGGATGGGTCACCTGAAACATGTGTTTAGGAACGGTGGTTCGAACTTCCAAGGAGCTGACTCCAGTCTTAGAAAGATTGTGTGTAGTTCGGGTCAGAACATTATAGCAAATGTTTTTTTAGAAGGAAGTTATGAATGGTACATTAACACTGCGAGAGCTAATCAACGAGGCTATGTATGGGAACGCATCATAACGTCAACAAGCGGAAATCTACGATCATTCCCGTTGCAGAAGGTTTTGACGGATGAGTCTTTGAAGACGTTTTTGATAGAGGCTGAATGAATATTGAAAATGGGCCACTCTTAAGGTTAGTTAATAACGTGCATAAAGCCAATGTGTAAACCATATTAGATAATAAACTAGCGTTGCTATGATGGATTAATGGCAACAACAGATTTTTTGAACACATAAATGCAGTTTCAGTTATCGTTTAGTCAACGCTTCAATAAACATTAGTATACCCATCAAAAGACTTTTTTACAATGTTACATACGGTCACTTGATACCAGCCTTACGAAATAAAGAAGAATTTGTATCTGGTTTGGTTCTATATTAATATGAAGGCTTCTTTTCAAATGAAGAAACCAACTCGACTACAGGCTCGTTCTGACAAGTCAGAGTCGAATTTTCCTAGCTGTTAGACTACTGTTAATTAAGTATCAGAGACCTTAATGCGTCAAAACTAATGTCTGGCAGTAATGCAGCGGTTTGCACCTCAGGTGAGATCTTACTAAAATCTGAGAATTTAACCGAAATCAAAAACTGACACATCGTTATCGATAACAACTTAATGGAAATTTCTGGTTTGAAACTAGTCTTTTTTGGTAGCCTAGCACCACTTAATTATATTATTTTTGTGCCATCATCGTTCATGGGGCATGTGGGTTGAGTCACATCAACCTTCAAAGTATGCCGAACCGGAGTCCTTACAAAACGCTAACGTCTACCTCTGAGTCTAATTTGATGAAATTCATGGTATGTGATGGCCCGAAATAGTGACATTCACGCCGCAAATGCTTTTTCGGGTAAAGTTATCCATGCAATAAGCATACGTTGGTCGTGACACACAGGTGACTCACTTCGTTTGATCACAAGTGGGTGGGAGATGTTACTTACTTTAAATTATTTGAAACGGGCTGTTGGTATGGTAATG